ATAATTTTAAAAAAGAGTAATAAATTAACCCGGGAGTAAATAAGGGTGGAAAAGCAGAGGCTTTTGCATCAATGCCTTGGTAAAGCTACAAGATGAAAAGGTTAACCAGACCTTAAACCTTCTTTTATCTGTTCAAAGGGAAATTGTTAGCTTTGGCATGAAGTTATATGAGCATGTTTATGAGATAACCCTCTGAAGAAAGATTTTTTGTAATGCCAAGTAGGTTGAATAAATAGCCCTAAAACCTTTTTTTCCTTTTCAAGTACCCAAATTATTATTTTTCTTGGATAATAGTAGAATCAGAAGCCAAGAAATAGAAATGCAAAGTATAAAGAAAATCAGGAAAGCATTGGGCATTTGATTGTAAGTACAGAGTTAGAAAATAACACTTCTTCATATGTACATTTCTGCCACAAAAGAAACACAAAGTATAAAACCTTGAAAATGGGAGATAGAGATAGACTGAGTGTTAGGTTTCTAGTGAGCAAAAAATAATAAATTACAAATCAATAGTTCGCATTATTCATAAGTTAAATGCTTAAAACATGTTGACAATCATTTGTATTTTGTGGGCCATATTTCATAAGAATGAAAACAATTAAAGAAATTTTAAGCTTATGCTTGTGAGTGTGAACACTATTATTTCTCATAAGATCTTTAATTCTTTAGTCATGAATTCTTTGACCACAAGGATTTCTAGGAACCTAACCCTGGCACTTGGGAAGGATTTTTATGTGTACTAAAATAGGTTTCCTATTTTAAAAATTGGCTCAGCTCTTTGGCTCAATAACACCAGAACCAGGAATATCAAATCCAATAAGTTATCTTTTGAAGAGTATTTTAATGTGGCCAACAGAATAACCACAAATAAAGAAATTTCCCAGAAGAGAAGACGTTTCTTAACGATTGAGCATACTGTATGGGAGGAATAATGTGGTTTCCCAGCTTCTGGGACATACAGCCATTTCTACCGAGAAAGGGGCTGTGCTCAGAGAAAGGAAGAAGAAAGGAACTACTGAGAGAAATGGCAGCTTAGGCTTCAAATGAACTCTGTCACCCATGAGGAACTATCAGTTCATTGTAATTGACTGTTTACTAACCTAGCCTTTCAGAATTCAGTTATTATGACTTTACTGAGGGGTTAGATGAATATAATGAGGAAGTTCTAAATCAGCCAAGATTCTGGCCACCAGGAGAGGGGCCCTAGAATAAAAGACAAAACTTTAATGGAAATAGTGTATAAATATTTGTTTAGTAGACTCTCATATTCTAGTATGTAAGGTCACATTGTAATAGAGAGATTGTTGGAAAGATTAAATCATTTTCCCAATTCCAAGTGTTACTAATCCTTAATATTTTCTTCATTGTGACCAGATGTATCTATTAAAATCAAAACAAAAGAAGTTATTTTCTGTGCAATCATTGGTTATACACAAGAGTCAGCAATAACCAGTTCTTAAACTAATATTTTTATTCAGTGTTTCATTACTGTTCTCATATTTACTCATTATCATCAATGAGTAGTGGCTAGTCCTGAGATAAGGCCATTCACAAAGCCAAGGCTTCAGCACTGGTTCTGTTTAAGTGATTTACAGCTTCTTGCTTTGTGCTTTTATGTGATCTTATCTTGGCATTATCCTGTTAGGATCATTTACTGTTAGCCTCTTAGTCCTGTCAGGAACATTTACTATTCCCTGTTCCTGAATTTATTGAGTTCTTGAATTGTTTCTTTAGTTGCTTTTTATGTTGACCTGATCTTTAGATCTTCAGCTGTCCCTTTCACTATTACTGCCCTTAATAATGTTGATTCTTGAGTTCTCGTTCAATGAAAAACCTACTGATTGGATTTATTGGTTTATAGTTGGCAATCACTTTATTACTTTATGCTAATAGTATTCACTGTGTCAGCAAAAATTATGAACATTTTTACTGGATTTATATAAGTTATTTTTCACAAGAGCAGTTGTGTTCTTGTTAGGCAGAAAGGTATGAGCAGGCTGAAAAGAGGGTGGGGCCCACCAAACACTCAGGGAGTTAGTCAGATAAAGCTAGAGAGCCGGAAAGGACTTGCAGAGTTAACTCCCTTTGCAATGTGAGTTCATTCCACATGCTGTGAATCTGAGCTAACCTTGAGACTTGCTAATGCAGGTGACATAGAGCAGAGACATGGGAAAGCATCATGACAATTTTCCTAAAAATGCCAAGATATGAATAGCATAGTGAGGACAAGAGGGACTCCAGCTTAAGGCTAAGATTCCATTTTAAAAGCAGAGTTGAGAAGTTAGATTCCTAACATTATTTGTTAATCAGACAACAACCCACTCAATCTTAAGGCAGGGCAAGCAGTTTTTTAAAAAAATTTTTTTATTAAGGTATGATTGATATACACTCTTATGAAGGTTTCACATGAAAAAACAATGTGGTTACTGCATTTACCCATATTATCAAGTCCCCACCCATACCCCAATGCAGTCACTGTCCATCAGTGCAGCCAGATGCCACAGATCCACTATGTGCCTTCTCTGCGCTACACTGTTCTCCCCGGGATCTCCCACACCATGTGTACTAAACATAATACCCCTCAGTCCCCTTCTCCCTCCCTCCCCACCCACCCTCTCACACCCCTCTCTTTGGTAACCACTAGTTCATTCTTGGAGTCTCTGAGTCTGCTACCATTTTGTTCCTTCGGTTTTGCCTCATTGTTATACTCCACAAATTAAGGAAATCATTTGGCATTTGTCTTTCTCTGCCTGGCTTATTTCACTGAAAGGGCAAGCAGTCTTAACTGATATATTCCCAGTGGTTGAGGGAAACCACTATCTTGGAAAGGAGCCAGATCAGTAAATTCCTTGTGTTAAGTTTATTGTACAGAATTATCTAGAGGACTGGCTGTAGATAGTAACATAATGTCACTCACCAGAGAGAGACATCATAAGACCACAAGTCAAGCTTACACCCAACAACCCCCACCCCTGCCCTTTGCCCCATTCTTGAAAGCCTTAAAAGACAGGATCCTAAGCCCTTAAGTGTGCCTCCTTTCTGAGGTTCCCTGCACTCAGCTTTCTTCAAGTGTGTTACTCTGTCCTACTTCAGATAAGTAGGGAGGGGCTCCTGAGAGCTCTGATTTGGTCTTGCAAGTTCCTGTCGCCTGGATGACCTGGACAGAACTACAGCTATATGACCATGCTCTTTAGTAGCTTGCCTAAAAATCCCCTTTCTTTGCCTTTGGGAAGGTCTAAGAACATAATCTCACTCCATCCAGTGCTCTGTGGCTCCCCCATTTCCTGGGGTGGTAGGGACTTAGTTCCCACACCATGCAGATTCAAATGGACACTGGACACCAGGTGACACTGGCTTTAGGAGTTAGCAGGGGATGTGCCCTATGCAAAGCAGCAGTTCAGGGAACTTCCCCTTCCTCTCTGCTCTATTCAAGTAAACCTGCCTTTGTCTGCCTTAACTCTGGCCCGCTCCTCCCTTGGAGTGTATTCAGTAAAACCTTAACTCTGCTTCACCACTAAGTCTCTGCCCTTCAGTTCTTTGTTGTGGTGGTGACAAGACCTGAGAAGAACAAACTTAACCTGCCCTCTGAAATTCTGAAGCACAAAAATCTCAAATTCATAACATTTCAAGCTCCAAGGGCTTAAATTATAGCAATATCGTTTTTCACATCTTTTAAAATCTAATGTAAAATTTTATTTTCCAGACATTCTCAACTAGAATTGGACTTGGGACTAACTCTCTAGGAAAATCATTTTTCAGTCATATATGCTTATCAGTTAATCTGAGACAATTGAACTTTATGCTCATATTATATGCCCATGAGTATAGAAACTTTCCAGAAGAGTTTGAAAGAAATTAGGGTTTAATGCTTTCCTGATGAAGAGAAGAAAATTCACATATCCTAGATATTAATAAATGTTTTTATTATAGCTTTCACCAGAGGGAAACATAGCTATGCATAAGATTGCAGTGTTTAACTGAGACCACTTCCATCTACATTAACAACAAATGTGACTGTCAAATTTGTAATTATACACATGTAAGACATATGAGACTTGGGTTTCTTTCTGCCAATTCAGGGAAACATAGAGGTTGAAGGATATGGATATTATAGATAAGGGCCCCTAGGATGAGACTAAGACATCACAGAATGATCAGATTTTCTGTGTTAAGCATTTTAACTTTATTAGGATTTTTTAGTTGGAATTTTGAAGTTAGCTTATTGTTTTGGGTGTTATGCATGAAGATATTGTGCATGCAGCCAAAAGGAAGTTGGAGAGTTTTTTCACTTCTGGAAATTGAGAGTTGGAGATTTTGTGTAAAAGACAGTCGTGGACTTTTAAATTGCCAGAAGTGAAAGATGGTACTTTCATTTATAAAACTAAGTAGTAAATGCTGTTTTAAGTCTTACTTTATCTAAACTTTTGATTATTATCTATTTTTTACTTTAGTTATGTCTGTAAGAAATGTGAGCTAAATCATATCTTAGTTATATTTAAGTAAGCAGTTATTATGTAATGTTAAACAATAAATTCCTGTATGTAATCACAGTTATAACACCTCATTTAAAATTATTGATCTATTTATCATTTAAAGTATTCAAATAATTGTTAATCATGTGCAAATGAAAAATCAATTAAATTGGATACTTACATATTTCATGTGATATAAACATGATATATAATTGAAAATACTGGAACACTTGGTTTTTCTGACCTCTTTTTCAAAATTCAGGCTCATCTGTGACCTTCTTTAAATCTGTTACCTGAATTTTCTTAGTTGATTAGTTAATATAGCCATAATTATGAGAATTGAAATAGGTGAATAATGTAACATTTGAATATTATTTTAGGTCAATAAGTGGTATCATTAAATATAAAATTACTATAATAAACTTTATAGTGAGTTGCAACTATGTTAAATAAGATGAAAGCTTGTTTCATTTTCTCCTTATTTTTTCTAATTCTATGGTCCATTTTCACTTTGTCTTGTTCTGACAGGCTTTAATCCGGTGTGAGCAGTTGAAGAATGAACTGGAGAGGCAGACAGAGCGACTTGAAAAAGAACTTGCATCTCAGCAAGAAAAAAGAGCCTTTGAGAAAGAAATGATGAAGAAAGAAATGACAAAAGAAAAGGAAGAAATGGAATCAAAGGTACCTGCAGATTAAATTTGTTACCTACATTGCAGAGGAAATGTTTTTGGTAATTGGTAATGTCACTGATGATTCTGTAGGCTGCAATGTTGAATGAACCCTTGTAAGCAGTTGAGTTGCTTATAATTTAGAGTTCCTAAAAATTTTCTGTTTTTCTATATATTGTCAATTAAAGTTGTATTCTCCAACCTTTCCAAATGAAATAACCAGTTAGATTCCATGAAATGAGATTGTGAAATGTACTTTAATCCTGCCGTTCTGTTTTGTCCTCTCTCATGTTTGTCAGAGGAGAGCAGATGCCCTGTGATACCCAGATTTTATTTCGATCTTGACTAAAATCAAGGAGAGAAGAGTCCCCCACCTAATTCCCCACTCCCTAATTAAACTCGCAGAAGGTAGGACACATGTAGGATTCCCTGCACTCAGCTTTCTTCAAGTGTGTTACTCTGTCCTACTTCAGATAAGTAGGGAGGGGCTCCTGAGAGCTCTGATTTGGTCTTGCAAGTTCCTGTCGCCTGGATGACCTGGACAGAACTACAGCTATATGACCATGCTCTTTAGTAGCTTGCCTAAAAATCCCCTTTCTTTGCCTTTGGGAAGGTCTAAGAACATAATCTCACTCCATCCAGTGCTCTGTGGCTCCCCCGTTTCCTGGGGTGGTAGGGACTTAGTTCCCACACCATGCAGATTCAAATGGACACTGGACACCAGGTGACACTGGCTTTAGGAGTTAGCAGGGGATGTGCCCTATGCAAAGCAGCAGTTCAGGGAACTTCCCCTTCCTCTCTGCTCTATTCAAGTAAACCTGCCTTTGTCTGCCTTAACTCTGGCCCGCTCCTCCCTTGGAGTGTATTCAGTAAAACCTTAACTCTGCTTCACCACTAAGTCTCTGCCCTTCAGTTCTTTGTTGTGGTGGTGACAAGACCTGAGAAGAACAAACTTAACCTGCCCTCTGAAATTCTGAAGCACAAAAATCTCAAATTCATAACATTTCAAGCTCCAAGGGCTTAAATTATAACAATATCGTTTTTCACATCTTTTAAAATCTAATGTAAAATTTTATTTTCCAGACATTCTCAACTAGAATTGGACTTGGGACTAACTCTCTAGGAAAATCATTTTTCAGTCATATATGCTTATCAGTTAATCTGAGACAATTGAACTTTATGCTCATATTATATGCCCATGAGTATAGAAACTTTCCAGAAGAGTTTGAAAGAAATTAGGGTTTAATGCTTTCCTGATGAAGAGAAGAAAATTCACATATCCTAGATATTAATAAATGTTTTTATTATAGCTTTCACCAGAGGGAAACATAGCTATGCATAAGATTGCAGTGTTTAACTGAGACCACTTCCATCTACATTAACAACAAATGTGACTATCAAATTTGTAATTATACACATGTAAGACATATGAGACTTGGGTTTCTTTCTGCCAATTCAGGGAAACATAGAGGTTGAAGGATATGGATATTATAGATAAGGGCCCCTAGGATGAGACTAAGACATCACAGAATGATCAGATTTTCTGTGTTAAGCATTTTAACTTTATTAGGATTTTTTAGTTGGAATTTTGAAGTTAGCTTATTGTTTTGGGTGTTATGCATGAAGATATTGTGCATGCAGCCAAAAGGAAGTTGGAGAGTTTTTTCACTTCTGGAAATTGAGAGTTGGAGATTTTGTGTAAAAGACAGTCGTGGACTTTTAAATTGCCAGAAGTGAAAGATGGTACTTTCATTTATAAAACTAAGTAGTAAATGCTGTTTTAAGTCTTACTTTATCTAAACTTTTGATTATTATCTATTTTTTACTTTAGTTATGTCTGTAAGAAATGTGAGCTAAATCATATCTTAGTTATATTTAAGTAAGCAGTTATTATGTAATGTTAAACAATAAATTCCTGTATGTAATCACAGTTATAACACCTCATTTAAAATTATTGATCTATTTATCATTTAAAGTATTCAAATAATTGTTAATCATGTGCAAATGAAAAATCAATTAAATTGGATACTTACATATTTCATGTGATATAAACATGATATATAATTGAAAATACTGGAACACTTGGTTTTTCTGACCTCTTTTTCAAAATTCAGGCTCATCTGTGACCTTCTTTAAATCTGTTACCTGAATTTTCTTAGTTGATTAGTTAATATAGCCATAATTATGAGAATTGAAATAGGTGAATAATGTAACATTTGAATATTATTTTAGGTCAATAAGTGGTATCATTAAATATAAAATTACTATAATAAACTTTATAGTGAGTTGCAACTATGTTAAATAAGATGAAAGCTTGTTTCATTTTCTCCTTATTTTTTCTAATTCTATGGTCCATTTTCACTTTGTCTTGTTCTGACAGGCTTTAATCCGGTGTGAGCAGTTGAAGAATGAACTGGAGAGGCAGACAGAGCGACTTGAAAAAGAACTTGCATCTCAGCAAGAAAAAAGAGCCTTTGAGAAAGAAATGATGAAGAAAGAAATGACAAAAGAAAAGGAAGAAATGGAATCAAAGGTACCTGCAGATTAAATTTGTTACCTACATTGCAGAGGAAATGTTTTTGGTAATTGGTAATGTCACTGATGATTCTGTAGGCTGCAATGTTGAATGAACCCTTGTAAGCAGTTGAGTTGCTTATAATTTAGAGTTCCTAAAAATTTTCTGTTTTTCTATATATTGTCAATTAAAGTTGTATTCTCCAACCTTTCCAAATGAAATAACCAGTTAGATTCCATGAAATGAGATTGTGAAATGTACTTTAATCCTGCCGTTCTGTTTTGTCCTCTCTCATGTTTGTCAGAGGAGAGCAGATGCCCTGTGATACCCAGATTTTATTTCGATCTTGACTAAAATCAAGGAGAGAAGAGTCCCCCACCTAATTCCCCACTCCCTAATTAAACTCGCAGAAGGTAGGACACATGTAGGAAACCAAATAACCAAGAAAAGGTGATTATATACACTGTATAAAATGGATTCTAACAAATTACAGGATGAAAAATGATCATAACCAGGTAAATAAATGGGAAGGAGAAATTAAAAGGAACAGGTAACATGAAATGGGCAGTGTTTGAAAAGCAGTAACAAACTGGAATACAGAGTTGAGTGGAACCTAGTTTTAAAATTACAAAGTAACCAACACAACTGATTCATGTTTTGTTTTTGTTTTGTACCCTTAATGCTGAACTCACAGCCTGTATCCTTAATGCTGTGTTGTTCTAAGATTCCAACATGAAATAATTAACTCATTTAGCAAATATCTACTGAGTAGCTGCTGTGTGTGAGGCACTTTGCAAGCCTGGGAATACGTAAAGACAAAAATCATAAATTCTGCTCAGTGAGTTAAGTTTTATGGATATCTGAGGCATTTACATAAACTCCCTTATCTTAATCCTTTTTTAAAAATTGTGCTTGTCAAAACTCAACTGTAGTTCAGTCTAACCATCTACCTTTTCCAGCCTGGATTGGTGATCTCAGTGGTGAAAACCCTACGACCTTGCAGATGGCACTACCGCACACACTTGGACTTCAGTGTCTGGGTTTCCAGTGCTGTCTGGCATTCCTCCCACACATTCTAATCTCTTACATTCATTCAGCTTTCAACAGATATCATTTGGATGGCCTAGAAATGTGGTAGTCACAGGACCAGTGCAATTCCCTTATGAAGCTTGCAGCTTAGTGGAGAGGTAGACATTAAACACATACTTCCACAAGCAGGTTTTTATTACCTCTGTGATGAAGGCACAATGGTACACAGAGGGGACTGTGAGAATGTAGGACACTCAGGTATGACCCAGTCTAGGCAGTCGTGAAAGACTTTCTTTCCTAAGATGAGATTTTGAAAGTGAGACTCAAAAGAGTTGAGTAGGAGTGGTCAGGCGAAGGGGTGAGGGAAAGAGTTTCAGACCCAGAAAACAATGCCCCCAAGACTCTGAAGCCAGAAAGCATCATACTTTCTAGGAATTTAGAGAAGGCCCAGGTGGCTGAAGCATAGGAAGTGAGGGACAGAATTGTGGGAAATGAATTTGAAGAAGTATGCAGGGACCAAATCATGAATGGTCTTAAAATCCATGTGAAGGATTTTAAATTTTATCTAAAAAGAGATGGAAAGTCATTGAATAGTTTCAAATTGGGCAGTGCCATAATGCCATTTATATTTGAGAAAAGTCATCTGTCAATAGACTGGGAGGAGAAACAGAATAAATGCATGGAGGTCAGGTGGCCATTACAGTAGTCTGGGTGGGAAGTGATGGTATCCTGGACCCATTTTCAAGGACAATTTCAAATCACTTCTATTCTCTTTAAATTCTCTACCATACACCTTTCTACTCATTTTCAGCAGACAACCTTACTTACCTAACCAAAGGAAATTGAAGCCATTAGATGGTAACCACTTCAACTATTTATCTCCCCTCATCTCTGCCTTTAAGTAGAATTTCAAGAGGACATTCTATGTCTTCACCCTGTCAGGATGGGAGAGGCTTCACTGGGTCCTGGCCCCTGCCCTGGATCTCACCGTCTTCCACCACCTCAGGGACATTGTCCTGTTAGATTCCCCCTCTCTTCTGAGTCTTTGACCTTCACCATAGCCTCTTCCTTATCAGGAAGATACTTGTAAACTTCTCTCATCTGGAGAAAGAAAGAAACTTTCTTATGATTTTGTGGTTCTCATTGGCAGCATAGTAGTGTCAAAAATCTCATTGCTCAGTCTGCAACCCAGACCAGTCAGCTGAAAACACCTGAGGGTGGGATGCAGGTGTCAGCATCTGCTGAAGTTGTACACGTGATTCCCAGGTGTGGCCAAAAGTCGGAAGCCACCTCAGTGATTCCACAGCCCTCCTCACTCTCTCTTATTAGTCAAGCTCCATGAAGGATCTGCCCACACATGTTCTTATCTTCTCACCCCTGTTCACCCTTCTGCGTACTGCATTTCAGCTTTTGTTCCCACAGCCAGTGAAGTTACCATGGCCATAGTCACTGAGGACCTCCTTGTGCTA